CACGACACAACGAGACTGCGCGTGTGCAGCGCAACGAGACCGTGCGTGCGCGTGCGCGCGAGGCCCGCACAGCACATCACAACACGGCACAGCACAGCACAACGCATCACATCACATCACACCACAGCACACGCCGCTTGGCGTGTGTGTGTGTGTGGTGTGTGGTGTGAGCGTGTGTGTACTGAGTGTTGTGTGCGTTGTGTGTTGCGTGCAGTGTATTGTGCGTTGTGTGTACTGTGTGTACTGTGTGTTGTGTTGTATGTTGTGTGTTGTGTGTTGTGTGTGTTGTGTATGTTATGGGTTGTGTTTGTTGTGTGTGTGCTGTGTATGCTGTGTGTTGTGTGTGTTGTGTGTTGTGCGTTGTGTGTTGTGTGTGTTGCGGGTGGTGTGTGATGTGTGTGTGTGTGTTGTGTGTGGTGTGTGAAATGTGTGTGCGAATGTTTGTGTGCGGATGTGTGTGTGTGTGCGGGTGTGTGTGTGTGTGTTTGTGTGTGCGTGTGTGCGTGTGTGCGTGTGTGTGTGTGCGTGTGTGGATGTGTGTGCGTGTGCGTGCGTTTGTGTGTGCGTGTGTGCGCATGTGAGTGTGTGTGTGTGTGTGCATGTTTGTGAATGCCTGTGTGTGCGAATGTGTGTGTGCATGTGTGTGAATGCGTACGCGTGCGAGAGTGTGAATGTGTATGTGCAAATACAGGTGTGGACGTGTGTGAATGTGTGTGTGAATGTGTGTGTGATTGTGTGTGTTTGTGTGTGTTTGTTTGTGTGTGCTTGTGTGTGCTTGCATGTGTTTGTGTATGTTGGCGTGTGATTGTGTGTTTGTGTGTTTGTGTGTGTGTTTGCGTGGATGTGTGTTTGTGTGTGCGTGTATGCGTGTGTGTGTGTGTGTGTCTGTGTGTTTGTGTTTGTGGTTGTGGTTGTGCTTGTGTGTGTGGTTGTGTGTGCCTGTGTTTGCGGTTGTGTGTGGGTTTGTGTTTTTGCGTGTGTTCTTCCCAACCATCATGTGGTGTTGGGTCCTCGTTCTGAAACAGCGCCCCGCGTTCACTCCTCCCGTTGCCCCCTCTCCCTTCCTCTCAGCATCATCAGCATCATCATCATCGTCCTCATCGTCATCATCATCATCTTCATCGCCATCGTCATGATCATCATCAGCATCGTCATCATCATCATCATCGTCATCATCGTCGTCTTCAGAATCGGCATCATTTTCATCATCACCATCGTCGCCATCATCATCGCCGTTATCGTCACCATCATCGACACCAATTTCGGCACACCCCTCACACTTTTCGTGGCCGCATAGGGAGCTCCGCCGAAGGCCCCAGTGGCAGCGCCCGCATGCGCCCCCATTTCGGCACACCCCTCACACGCTTCGTGGCCCCATAGGGAGCTCCACCGAAGGCCCCAACGGCAGCGCCCGCATGCGGTTCAACCCCCATTTCGGCACACCCTTCACACGCTTCGTGGCCCCATAGGGAGCTCCACCGAAGGCCCCAGCGGCAGCGCCCGCGAGCTCCACCGAAGGCCCCAGTGGCTGCGTTCGCATGCGGTTCCACCCCCATGTCGGCACACCCCTCACACGTTACGTGGCCCCATAGGGAGCTCCACCGAAGGCCACTGGGCTGCGTTCGCATGCGGTTCCACCCCCATGTCGGCACACCCCTCACACGTTTCGTGGCCCCATAGGCATCCCCGCAGCAAGTTGCTTGAAGTCGCAGCGTGTTACGGGAAGCGTTTTCCTACACGTTCCCAATACGCGTGCCTGAAGCCTTGCCGCAGGTCTTTCGCAGCTCCCTCGAAGCTTGTTTTTCGGAGTTCGCAAGCTTCCCAGGCATGCTTTCAAGCGTCCTGGCAAGCGTCTCCGAGAGGCATTTTCGAAGCTTGCAAGCTCCCCAGCCATGCTTTCGAGCGTCCTTGCAAGCGTCTCCCGCAGGCGCTCTAAGCGCGTTGGACTGTGGACTGCGTCGCTATTCGGGTTTTGGACTGCACAAGTGTGTGTGTGTGTGTGTGTTTGTGTGTGGTTTCGGGTGTTTGCGTGTGTCTGTGTGTGTGTGTCTGTGTGTATGTCTGTGTGTGTGTCTGAGTGTGCCTGTGCGTGTGTCTATGTGTGTCTTTTTGTGTGTGTGTCTGTGCGTGTGTGTCTGTGTGTGCGTTTGTGTGTGTGTGTGTCGGTGTGTGTGTGTGTGTCTGCGTGTGTCTGTGTGTGTGTCTGTGTGTGTGTCTGTGTGTGTGTCTGTGTGTGTCTGCTTGAGTCTGGGTATCTTTGTGTGTCTGCGTGTGTTTGTGTGTGTGTCCATGTGTGTGTGTCTGTGCGTGTGTCTGTGTGTGCCTGTGTCTGTGTGTGCTTGTGTGTGTGTGTCTGTGTGTCTGTGTGTGTCTCTCTGTGTGTGTGTGTCTGTGTGTGTCTGTGTGGGTGCCTGCGTGTGTCTGTGTGTGTCTGCGCATGTTTGTGTGTGACATTGTGTGTTTGTGTGAGTCTGTGTGTGTCTGTGTGCGTCTGTGTGTTGTGTGTTTGTGTGTGTGTCTGTGTGTGCCTGTGTGTCTACGTGTTTCTGTGTGCTTCTGCGTGTGTTTGCGTCTGTCTGTGTGTGTCTGTGTGTTTGTGTGTGTGTCTGTGTGTGTGTGTCTGTGTGTGTGTCTGTGTGTGGGGCGTGCCTGCGTGTGTATGTGTGTGTCTGTGTGTGTGTTTGTGTGTGTCTGTGTGTGTCTGTGTATATGTGTCTGTGTGTCTGTGTCTGTGTGTGTGTCTCCGTGTGTCTGCGTGTGTCTGTGTGTCTATGTGTGTGTGTGTGTCTGTGCATGTCTGTGTGGTGTGTTGTGCTTGTGGTTTTGGTTGTGGTTGTAGTTGTGTTTGTGTTTGGGGTCGGTGTGTGTGTGTTGTGTTTGTGTTTGCAGTTAGTGTTTGCGTGTGTGTTTGTGTGTGTGCTTGTGCTTGTGTTTGTGTGGTGTTTGTGTTTTCGTGTATGCATGTGCGTGTGCGTGTGTCTGTTTCTGTGTGTATGTGTGTGTGTCTGTGTGTCTGTGTGTGTCTGCGTGTGTGTCTGTGTGTCTGTGTGTTTATGTGTGCGTCATTGTGTCCGTGTGTGTGTGTCTGTGGGTCTGTCTGTCCGTGTGTCTGTGGGTCTGTCTGTGTGTGTGTGTTTGCTTGTGTGTGTGTGTCTGTGCGTGTCTGTGTGTGTCTGTGTGTCTGTGCGTCTGTGTGTCTGTGTGTCTGTGTGTGTTTGTGTGTCTGTGTGTCCGTGTGTCCATGTGTGTCTGTGTGTGTGTGTCTGCGTGTATGTCCGTGTGTGTCTGTCCGTGTGTGTGTGTGTCTGTCTGTGTGTGTCTGTGTGTCAGTGGTTATTTGTGATTATCCGTGATTGTCTGTGTGTGTCCGTGTGTCTGTGGGTCTGTGGGTCTGTGTGTCTGTGTGTGTCTGTGTGTCTGTGTGTCTGTGCGTGTCTGTGTGTCTGTGTGTCTGTGTGTCCGTGTGTGTGTGTCTGTGTGTCTGTGTGTCTGTGTGTCTCTGTTCGTGTGTGCGTCTGTGTTTGTTTGTGTGTCTGTGTGTGTCCCGCGTTGCCGCTGCCATTTGTGCTGCCGCCCGGGTCTCGCGGTCGCCCTGCCCCAGCATCCGTGGTCGGCTTCGGGTTGCCGCTGCCTTTTCTCGGTCCCGCAGCCCCAGCTCGCAATGCGGACGCGCTCTTGCCTCCGCTACCGGCGGTGCCACCCCTCCCACTGGGCCGTCCAAACGCCCCTCCGGTCCGCCACTGCAGCCTGCTCCAGCGCAGCCCGCCCAGCAGCTGGTCGACCTGGTCTCCCCGCATTTTGCCTCTCGGGACCTCCGTCGGCTCTGCTGCCAGTGGCCTTCGCTGTTCCTCCTTACTTGCTGGTCCACGGCCCCCCGCACTGCAGCCGCTGCCCTGGCCCCTGGGCGCGGTCGCGACGCCGCCCCGTGCCCGCTGCCAGGGGTGCAGCACCGGCTTGGCCGCCCCGGGCGCCCCGCTGCGGCCCCAGCTGCGTGAGCGCGCTAGTCCCCTTCCTCCCGCGGCCGCCCCTCTTCCCTTTCCCTTTCCTCATGCATCTGGGCAGTTCGCAAAGCCGTCACCCAGCTAGCTGAGCGCGTGTGCGGACTGCCTCTGCCGCGCTGCGACAGAAAAGTGTGTGTGTGTGTGTGTCTGTGCGTGTGGCTGTGTGTATGTGTGTGTGTGTTTGTGTGTATGTGTCTGTGTGTGTTGGAGTTGGTGTTGGTATTGGTTTTGTCTATATTTGCGAGTGCGTTTGCGTTTGTGTGTGATCGTGTGTGATGGTGTGTGCGCGAGTGTTTGTATGTAAATGTGTAGGTTTGTAGGTGTGTCAGTGTGTAGTTGTCTAGGCGTGTAGGTACACAGAAATGTAAGTGTGTGTGTGTGTGTGAGAGTGTGCGCGTGTGCGTAGTGTGTCTGAGTTTATGTGTGTGTGCGCGCGTCTGCGTGTGAGTGTGTGTGTGTGTGGTGAGCGTGGGGGGGAGGTGTAATCCATGGTTTCCCCTTGGGGCCTCCTCGAGCCTTTCGGATCGTCGCGGAGGCCTGGGCCGTCTTGGGGCCCTCTGGCCTTAGGAAAGCCACGCGACGAGCTCCAGAGCAGAGTACCCAGGAGCGCTTGGCAGTCGTGGCCGTGGGCCCTTCCTACATTGTTTACTTGTCCCGATATAGGGGGCTCGAGGCATCCTCCCTCCTCCTCCTCATCCTCTCTCCTCCTCCTCCTCCTCCTCCTCCTCCTCCTCCACCTCCTCCTCCTCCTCCTCCTCCTCCTCCTCCTCCTCCTCCGCCTCCTCCTCCTCCTGATCCTCATCCTCCTCCTCATCCTCATCCTCATCCTTTCTCCCTCCTCCTCCTCCGCCTCCTCCTCTTCCTCTCGACGGATCTGAGGACACCCCGCGTCTTGCATCGAGGCACAAATGGGCGGATGCTCTTGCAGCTTTCTCCTGCTCAGGGGGGCGGCAGGGGGGGCAGGGCCCAGGGCCAGGCAGCGAGGGCCGCTGGGGGGAGGCAGTGGCCGTGGTCGTGCACCTCTACTGGCTGAGCGCCACGGTGAACGCCACCGGGGAAGGCCCGGCGCGCAGGAGGTGAATAGTCAGGCGATCGCAAACATGGATCAGGGGGGCGTGGATTGGCGACGGGCCTCCTTTCCATGGGAAATCGCGGATCTCCGCCGCCGAACGAGGCGGCACCGGCCGCATCTTGGGGAGGGCCCCTCCCCCGATCCATGGGTTTGGCGGCCGCGCGCCAAGTCCATGGATCGCTAATCCATGTCCGCGAGCCCCCGAGAGTAGGCAGCAGGATCGGCAGCAGCGATCTCCTCGGCCACTCGTGCTCCAGGGGTCGATGCGCACGCAGTGGCGTGCGTGCGCTCGTGGAGCGATCGCGGCACGCATCCATATATTCGTCACGGCGCTGTTCTGTCTGACGCTGGATCGCTTGTCGGGTGGTCGTGCCTCGGGGTGGTCCACGCGGCAGCGTGCTGAGCAGCAGTCGCGCGCGTCGAAAAGGGGGCCGTACAGTACCCCTTTCGGCGCAACAAGGAGCTGGTAATAATCAAAGCGATGCGGCCTCATCGCGGCACCCTAAAACTTTGGACTTTGAACGCGTTCCAATATACATCGGGCTGAATGGGGTCCGTGCGAAAAAGAAACCATGCGCAGAGAAGAAGAAGAAGAACATTATGAATGAGCTCGTCAAGAAGACAATGAGTAAATAAAAGGACAAGTATCTAGTGGCCCTTTTCCCCGCACAACTCGGAATCAAGCACTGCGAAGATCAAAAAGTCGCCAGGCTGACTGGGAACGCCACCCGAGCCGACCTGCAATGGAGACCCCCCTGCAGTGAAACATGGCCCAAGAGAGAAAACGAGAGGGAGAGAGAGGAGCAGAACATGCAAAGCACCAGCGCAACGCCGCTCATGGCTTACGCCACGAGTTGGCGAAAGCATGGAAGTAAGCTGAACAGGGGCCTCATGTCTTCTGAGAGCAGAAGGATTAGCCAGGGGCAGGCTTTCATTAGCAGGGGCATGTAAGATCGCATTGGCGCCACATTCGGCCGAATCATCGGCACGCTCGTTCAAAGATTATCTGGTCTGGTTTTCAGCCTTCCTGAAGGCAGCATGACGAACAATTCGATCAAAGGTATGACGAACGCGGAGAGCGAATCGAAGGTTCGTCCGCCCCAGGCGTGCCGTTGAGCCACGCCAGCCGCGATCCCCAAGTAGTACTCGATGATGGTAGGTGGTGAAGATGGCGATGAAGCAACATGATCACAAACCCCATAGACAGCGTGGTATAAAGCAGAAAGTTCACCAACATGGTTGGAACTATGATCAGGACGGTGGGCCCGCAGAAGTCCCGAAGTGAGGCCTCGGAGGATGAGTCAACAGTAAGACTCCAACCAGAAACCGTGAAACCGTAGGCCGAGGATAACGCAACCTTTCAAGCTGGAGCCGAACAGATTCTGACCAGACTACGCCACAGAATCCCGCCACCGCGCCCAGGTTGCAGGTCCCCCTCGGATGCTTGCGGGGATCTCTTGGGAGGCCTCTCGGAAGGCTCTTGGAGGCGGCTTCGGGGGTGTATGAGGGCCTTTCGAGAGCTTCTGGGAGGCCTCCTTGGGCTTGATTGGAGAGGCCTGACGGCCGGTGCCGCCGACCCTGATCGAAAGGGCTAGGAATGGGAGGAGGAGGAGGAGGAGGAGGAGGCTTCTTGGAGGCCTCTTTGGGCTTGATTTGGGCCTCTTTGGCGCCTCGTGGGGCTTGGGGGGCCCCTCGGGGAACTGCTGGCGGTCCTCTTGGGGCGGAGGGCTGGAAACGTCGGTTCGTGCTCCCCACTTGGGGCCTCTCTTGGGGCCCTCTTGGGAGGAGGAGGAGGAGGAGGAGGAGGAGGAGGAGGAGGAGGAGGAGGAGGAGGAGGAGGAGAGGAGGAGGAGGAGGAGGAGGAGGAGGAGGAGGAGGAGGAGGAGGAGGAGGAGGAGGAGGAGGAGGAGGAGGAGGAGGAGGAGGAGGAGGAGGAGGAGGAGGAGGAGGAGGATGGGGAGGAGGAGGAGGAGGAGGAGGGGGCCGTCTTGGGCCGTCTTCGGGGGCCCCTCGGGCAGTTTGGGAGACCTCTTGGGCCGCTTTGCGGACCTCTCGGCGCCCTGTTGGAGCGATGTTGGCGCCCTCTTGGGGCGATCCTTGGGGGCCTCTGGGGCCGTCTCGGAGCGTCGGGATCCCGAAAAGGCGAGAACGCTAAAGTCGTTCAAAAATGGTTTTGACTTCTTTGGGCCGTCTTGGGAGGGCTAGTGGTGGCTCTCTTGGGGCATCTTGGGGGCCTCATGGGCCGTCGTAAGGACGTCTCGCGCATGTTGGGGTGCTCTCGGGCCGACCCGGGGAACTCTTGGACCGTAGTGGGCGCCTCCTTGGGCCTTCTTGGAACGTCTTGGGCTCCGAAAAAGCCGTGCGAGGACACGCCCGCCCCCGCATGCGGAAAGCCCCGGGGAATCTCGGTGTACAGGTCCCTGACGCAATACTCAACTATCAGGCTTAGGACGGAGGGCTCAGTTCGAGGTCTCCCAGATGGGGTCCGAGTGGATGGGGCCGGAGGAGCACGTCGCGTCGCCGGTGCATCGCCGATGCAGTTCGATGTGGAGCCCAATCTTCTCCGCGCCGACGTCGGCGATGCGATGCATCGACAATGCATTGGCGACGCGGTGCAATCCTCCAGCCCCATCTACTCGGACCCCATACAGGAGGCCTCTGCTTGCGTAATACTCAACTATCAGGACTGGGGACGGAGGGCTCAAGGGACCTGAGCACATTCCAACTAGTAGCTCAGATAGCGGTGGCACGGCGGTGGATATTCATACTGGCCAGCAGAATGGCAGGCAGTTGATGAGATGAGGAAAGAAAGAAGGGCACAACGAGCGGGGGAGGCAGGGATTGGCGCAATGGTTGAGGTACAAAGAAGGGGAGCAAGAGGGGATGCGAGGAGATACCGAAGGAGGGGAGAGAGGAGGCAGGGGGGAAAGCGTGGAGGTAGCATTGAAAAGGATAAATAGATAGCGAGAGGGACAGAGAGAAGGGAGTAACAGAGTGAGGTACAAGAAAAATTGAACAACTATGTATCGTATTGTGAAACAAAGTTTGCAAGGCATGGGCACGCAGATGACTAGACAGAGAGGCCAGTAGTTACGCATACATATATATATATATATATATATATATGCACGTAAATGTATATGTACGTCTAGATGCACGTACATATACATGGACATTTGAATATACGTATCCGTATACATGTACATGTACATGTACGTGTAAACATACATCTACCCATACAAACACACACACACACAAACACGTGCATATGTACACATGCATGCATACATACATGATACATCCATACATACATACATACATACATACATACATACATACATACATACATGGATATGTACGTACGTACATATGCACATGCATATATACATGTATACATGTACACACGTAAGCATGCATGTAGACATATACATGTATATCTACATACATACATACATGCATATATGCATGCATGCATGCATACATACATATATACATGCATGCATGCATGCATGCATGCATGCATGCATGCATGCATACATGCAAACATACATACATACATAATTATATATACACACATAAATACCGGATGACAGGGCGGGGGCCTCCAGGGCTGGGGCCTCGACGGCGCATAGGGTCCACGGCTCGCCGGAGCCGTTCGGGAGGAGGCCCCGGCGGCTCCGAGACGCGCCAAGATCCCCCCCAGACGTGCCCAGTGTGGTCCACGACGGCAGCCACTCGTCGACAGATCGCCCCACGACGCCCAAGATGCCTCCTAGAGAGCCCTACAGGCCGCCAAGACGCCCAAAAAGGCCCCCAAGAGGCCTACCCACAGGGCCCCAAGAGCCCCAAACCATTGATTCTCCAAAGGAAAACTTGAATTTTCAGCACATACGATTTTTCGGCTTTCACGGCGTTGACGACGGCCCCATGGGTCCCCAATGTAGCCCCAAGACGGCCCCAGAGGCTCCCTAAGACGGCCCGAGGGGGTCTCAAGACGGCCCACGAGGGCCCAAGAAAGCCCCAAGGCGGCCCCAAGAGGGGCCCAAGAGGGGGACCGCGAACCGAAAAAAGCCCAATTCCAGTATTCCAACCCCAAGAGGCTCCCAGGAGGCCCCAAGAGGCCCCCAAGAGGCCCCAAAAGGCCCCCAAGAGGCCGACAAAACCGGCCCCGAGAGGCTTCGAAACTGCTCCCAAGAGGCAGGATGGGCCGAAGGCCCTTAGATAATTTGAGCGGCCAGGGGGAGGCCCCGGAGGAACCAGGAGGGGGTCCATCGGATGACGATATGTGTAATATCACCTGATTTCGCCATCTTCCTTCTCTTCTTCTTCCCCTCGCTGCCTGCTCCTCCTCGCTCGTCCTCCTCGGTATTTCACAGGTTTCCTGCCCAGTTGTTTTTTAAGGTACACGATAATCGGTGGCCGACGACGACGATGACAGAACGCCCCAACATGGGCGACGATGACGACGGAACGCCCCAAGCAGGCCCCCCCAAGAGATTCCCACAATTCATGTTCCCAGCAGTCCTTGCGGGAACATAATTCATCGGGCTCCCAACATGGCTCCTCAAGAGGCGACGACGACGACGACGACGACGACGACGACGACGACGACGGACTGGCCCAAGCAGCCCCCAAAGACATTCCCAAAGATCATGCTCCCAGAAGTCCTTGTGGGAGCATGATTCATCAGGCCCCAGGCATGGCCGACGCCAATGACGCAGCGCCATCAGCAGCCCTCCAAGATAGGAGTACGCCTGAAAATCATGTTCCTAGAAGGCCTGCCAGGAACATGATTCATCAGGCCCCCAACATGGCTCACAAGAGGCTATGATGAAGACGGAACGCCCCACGCAGCCCTGCAAGACACTTCCAACATTCATTTTGCCAACAAGCCTTCTGGGGACATCATTCCTTGCGCCTTCAAAAGGCCTCCCCAAGAGGCGACGACAACGACGGAACGCCCCAAGCAGGCCCCCAAGACACTCCCA